GATCACTATTGGGTACGCTGTGCTTCGCATCTTCTACGATTGCTAGCCAGTTTAGACTGATCACTACTTAATATGTTGATGGCCTGTCACATATACCTTCAAACATCTTTGCTTCCGAATTTCGATTTGACTTTGTCAAACACCAATTACTTGTGGCATCTTTAGATAGAGGCACAAATAACGACCAATGCTTTAATCACACTAGGTCTTTTAGGAGCTCAAATGAATCTATTTTACCTTGTTTGAACTTCCATATCTCCGCGTTGTTTGCAGGCATTGTTGATACTGATCTCGTTTCCATTATGCCCTACATTTGTCGTATGTTGTGAGAACACTGAACACGCACGACCCGTCTTTTCTCAACCCATGTTGAGGTTCATGGAGGATCTCCCCTTTGTTTACATATTCCCCCATTTGTTTGCTAATCAGTTATTCCATAAAGACCCATTAATCGTTGTAATGCTTTCTGCGGCCCAACATTTCCCGCCACTCTGAAGTTAGTGCTTCTTTTATTCACTTCCAGTTATCCTTCAAAGTGTGGTATCCGAACAAAGAATAGACGAACGGTAACTGTAAGGAATTATTTGTGGAAAAATATCACATATAATACTATTGAACTACTGTTAAGTGACTGCATTATGTGTATATTCATATTCCCTTCACCATAAGCTTTCAGTCGACCTACTGACTATTATTATACGATTTACTATTCACAAGTTATTCCTTATGTATTAATTACAATCTCGCACTCAGAGCTACTTTCAGCTTGATCTTGTATAGTTATTATCTTTTATTTTATGGCGTGATACGGTCACGTTTGCTTACATATAGGCCACATTTGTTTGAAAACTACGATTCACACAGTGGGTGCTGAGATTGTGTTCTGGACATAACGGGCATTTATTGTGATTTCCTCCTTTTTCGTTTCAATGGATGCTCTGAGTCTGCGGGAAATTACCTTACTTTGTGACTAAGGTACAACAGCATCTCTCCCGTACTTAACATTTTCTGTTCAGATTGGATTCATTGTGTTTCATCGAATCAGAGTACCATCAAGTTTTATCTCTTCACTTCCCTAGCTATTTCAATTGTTCTCACAGTCTTCCACATTGTCCGGACTTTTCATGTACGTATATTCTTTATTGCTCTGGTTTTTAGAAGAAGCACCGTCATCATGACTTCCGAAGAATCTCGGCTTTCAACATGAGGTGTGAAATTTCTTCTGAATGCGGATCATTCAAATCGAAGGATCTTTTTAAATGGTTTAAACTATATATTCTGATTAACGTTTTTCTAGCAAGGTTGTTTTCTATGGGATTCGGTCGCTGGCTTCATGCTCAGCTTTCCTTCTCTACCCGGGCTAGGGACCGGTAGTAACCCTAGCAGAGCAAAAGTCAGAAATATGTGTTCGAAATTCATTCTCGTAATTGACTTATTTCGTTATTTCTTAACGTGAATTAACTACATAATTATGTACGTGAGTAGCAAGAGTGTATATTCCGACAACAATCATTCTACGATCTAACTGAATTTAAATAAGAGGGCTATACAATAATGTTTAAATCTATGTTGACAACCTACTAATCATATATGGCATGATGGAAACTTTCAAACTGATGAAATTCACTTCACGAACGTTCACATTGATGTCAATAAATACATTATTATTTGCGATTCAGTGAAAAAACACAGGAATCTCAATTTGATTTTTTAAATGCCGAAAACATTATTACTTATAGTATTTATTTTATAAAAATATCAGTAGGTCTGTGGTTATCATTAGTAATGCTGTAAATACTCTTTGTTCTTGGAGGATTATTAAAATTTGAATCAAGCCAGTTTCTGGAACACACTTTCTGTTTACAACAATCTTTTATCTCTAGAGTTCAGAGATCGGCTACGAAGTCAGAATTTGGAAAGTCACGTTCTTACTAGTAGATAGATAGACATGAGAAAAATGAACAAGAAATGGATGGAACTAGAAAAGAGGGCGTGGGAGAGAGTGGGTTGGAGAATGCTAGTTGGCGGCCTATACTCCATTGGAAGTAAAAGACGTGAGTAATTAAGTATTACAGTAAGTACATAAACATTAAACTTATTCATATCACAACTTATTAAATGTATGCATTCTTTGATTAACAATTTTTATATTTCATTTTTCAGGGTTATTGTACTCTAATTTATCTGATGTAATTATTCAAAATGTGGCAAAATTTGAAATTCAAAACAGATTATCTTCAAATCAAATTCAATCATTCCAAAACAGATTTTATTTTGTATTATACCATGACATTCATTTATCAACTGTGGAGTTTATTGTATTGTAGTGACCTACATTTATCAAGAGAACGCGGTTGGTTTAACGGAAACAATTATTATTGTAGCCGATTGTACCAGTGATTGTTTGAATGTGCTTGTTTGTGTAACTGTGAATGAGACGGTTGATTGTGACCTTGCACACAATTACGTTTGCTCAGTGATTCCGCTTGTCCCCTTTTAACACAGTCACATTATTATTTCGATATCACGACATCGCCCACAAATATATCTCGCTACAACCTCCAATCGCCTTCTGATGTCACAATGAATATTATCTAATATTATGCACCCACCAATGATATCAACGACGGCGTTAACGATCAATTCTACGAGAGGCTGCAATCAATCACAAAAAAGTGCCTAAGAAAAAACCTCACCATTATGATTTGAGATCTAAACACCAAAGTCGGAATGGACAACACCGGATATGAAGATATCATGGAACCACATGGACTAGGAGAGAAACAAAAATGGAGAGATTTTCAAATCTATGTGCATTCAAAAATTTGGTCATAGGCGGCACAATATTCCCACACAAACCTATACACAAAGCTACATGGTACCAAAGAAGCATTAACTTCCACGTGTCAAGAGGTTCTGGGCCCCAAGAAGCATCACCACAAGGAATGGATATCTATGGAAACACTGGACAGAATCAAAGAAAGGAAGAACAAGAAGACAGCAATTAACAATAGTCGAACACGAGAAGAGAAAGTCCAAGCACAAGTTAAATACATAGAAGCAAATAAGAAAGTGAAGAAGAGCATTAGAGCCGACAAGCAGAAACACGTAGAAGAACTAGCAGCGACAGCGGAGAATGCTGCAAGAGAAGGAAATATGAAACAGCTTTTTGATACAACGAAGAAACTAGCAGGGAAATATAGTAAACTAGAGAGACCAGTCAAAAACAAAGAAGACAGGCTATTAACTGGAACTCAACAACAGCGGAACACATGGGTAGAGTATTTCGAGGAACTCCTGAACAGGCCGGCTCCAATGAACCCACCGGACATCGAAGCAGCGCATACAGATTTTCCTGTAGATGTCAATCCACTAACGACCGAAGAAATCAGAATGGCCATGAGACAAATCAAGAGCGGGAAAGCAGCATGACCCGATAATATACCAGCTGAAGCATTGAAGTCGGACATCGAAGTAACCACAAACATTCTTCATCTTCTATTCAAGAAGATTTGGCAGGAGGAAGAATTGCCGATGAACTGGAATGAAGGAACCCAAATTGAGAGAGTACGGATCATCGTCGAACAATCAATTGAGTGGAATTCGTCACTGTACATCAAATTCACTGATATTGAAAAGGCATTTGGCAGTGTAGATAAGAGGACGTTATGGAAACTTCCTAGACAATACGAAGTTCCTGAGAAGATTGCCAACATTATCCGGAACTCATACGACGGACTACAGTGCATAGTAGTGCATGGAGGACAGCTGACAGATGCATTTGAAGTAAGAACCGGAGTTAGACAAGGATGTCGTAAAGGCAAGGATTGGCAAAGCAGGGGCCGCATTCCTTCAATTGGAGGATATATAGAACTCAAAACAACTTTCAACAAATATAAAACTCACAATCTCCAATACGATCGTCATCACAGTCAGTTCTACTGCACGGAGGTGAAACTTGGAGAACTACAACAACCACCATCAAGAAGGTACAAGTACTCATAATAGCTGTCTACACAAGATACTCAACATCCATTGGTCAGATACTATCAGCAACAGCCTTCTGTGGGAGAGAACAAACCAGCTTCCATCTGAAAAGGAAATTAGGAGAAGACGACGGAAATGGAAAGGACATACATTGAGGAAATCATCAAACTACATCACGAGACAAGCCGTAACTTGGAATCCTGAAGTAAAGCGAAAAAGTGGAGGGTCAAAGAACATAATACGTCGGGAAATAGAATCAGATAAGAAGTGGATGAATAACAACTGGAAAGAGCTGGAAAGGATTGTCAATGGCAGGATAGGATGGAGAATGCAGGTGAGAGGGCTATGCTCCTTCGCGAGGAGTAACAGGCATAAGTAAGTAAGGTTAAGGGTTAAGAACTATATTTATGGCTTTCCTCACGAACTAACATCAGCTAAAATGCCAAAAACGCTCGTTAAACAAATGGGTGAATGGATTTCTCGCCGAAATGCAGGACTTTTTATTTTATATCTGATTGGTTCGTCCATAAAATATAGTCTCGCCACACAAAATGAAGTAATATTATACGCAATAGAAATTCGTTTATAATCTACCTGTCTTGCGCTAATGGGTTATATATTGCTTACAGTTTACTTAAAGGGTTTATTCAATAGTAGACCATGTACGACAAAATAAAAAACTGTTCAACACACAAAGATATATCTCCAAAAAAATTTTTTTAGACACATTCATTGTGCAAAACAAACTAGTTTTGTTAACTGTTATATCATGCATCATTCTATGTCGTACAACAAATGAAATATTAGCATTGTGTGGTTAATCGTTTGTTCTAATCGTAATACGGGTTGTTTTGCATAACAACACAAGATCCTAGAATGAATAAGTTAGTTAAAGCAAATAACTGTTATAAGTTATTCAAACCATTCTGTTTTTCAGAAACCATTATGGAGATTTAGAAAGAACAGCACAATGTCTAACGAAAATTCCATTGGAGGAACAACTACTTTGAAGATTAATAGACAACAACTGATTTTTGCATTTTTAAAAGATTTGTCCAAGCATTATCTTGTTTATTGAAGTACTTCTGTTTTACATCATCTGACAAATAGATTCCATATTCTGCTTCATATAAATCACATACTGTTTGTAAATCAATCTGAATTTGACGCACAAAATATTCTGGGACTTAATCAAGCCAAATTTATACGTTCGATTACATCTAATTCTTTCTACTCCATCAATCCAAGATAAAAATAACACGTCAGATAATTCCCTCATTATGATTCATATCGACCTAGTTAGAAATGATTTAATTTAACACATAACTAGAGTTTCACTGATTTCAAGCACCTCCAGGTTGTATCACTTGATTTCTGCAGCAATTTGGAAGACTCTCTCGGTCTCCAACATTGTACGAGCATTAAACGTACCTAAATTAATGGTCGCTCTGGTTCTAAGAATGGGCATCGGTCTCGGCTTTCACCATGAGGCGTCATAACTCTTCTAAATGAAGACCTAACTCCCTGAAGCAGAGTTTAAATGGTTTGAATTATTTTTTTCTGGCTAGGAATTTTTAGCGAGTTGGTTTTCTACGAGATGGCGTCGCTAACCCCATGCTCAACCTTCGTGTTTTATCTGGACTCGAGACCCGAATCAGTTCAATGAGGCCCCAGGAAGGTTATTGAATGCTGGTAAGGCGGCTTATGCTCCATTAGGAACAACAGGCGCAAGTAAGTGAGTAAGTAATAACTATAGTTTGTCGCGTATACACATTCGAAAACGGATTGGATTAATTGAAAGACATTATAATGAGCCTTACAAAATATGTAAACTGAACCCAAACTAGAAAAGATTTTAGTTATTCCACATAAACTTACTTCTGAACGGAAAATAAGTAAACGTTGAGCAGTTAACATATCGATAAGTTCTTTATAAAGTGCATCATGGATTAATGTAGCAAAATACATTGGTTTCTTTACAGAATAAGTATCTGAAATGATGAAGATGAAAAGTCAGTCTATTAATAATGAGCGATTCTTATTAGAAATGAAATGAAAATATGTGAACCACATGTGGAGAAATTCGAACTCTCCACTTCTATCTGAAGTTTGTGCTGATGATGTCGTTCAGAAGAACGGTTAAAGCTTCACGACCAAACCATCTAGTTCAGTGAACAAAACTCCGTGAAAAGAGGAAGATCATCAGGGCTATGTAAATACACACAGTTCTGATAATATTCGTCTTCCTGTTGCACTATCTTTATTAGTCTTCATATTAAATGCCATGACAAGATTGTTCAAAATTGAATTTGAGCACCAGAATTGATCAGTCCGGTTTTGGCTTTGAGGATCCTGTGAGGATCGCCATGAACGCAGTAACGCTTGAGTCAAACATAAACACGTAATACACTTTGCTGCTAAATCAAGTTGGTCATCAGGTAATGCACTGGCATGAAGAGCCGTTGGGAACGTTAGATCCCTGGAACTCACTTGACAAAGATCGTAATTTTGTAATTTTATTTTGAATTTTTGAATTTTTTTGTTTTCTTATCGAATCGCTCTTTTCACCTTCATGTCGCATTTTCCACTTGAGAGAATTCTAAACGCTATTGTTTCGTTGTGTTTTACTATACTATTTTGTGACCCTTCCTAAGGACGGTTTGTTGTATATATATTTATATACTTTTTAATTCATGTCTGTTGTTATCGCTCCTGCTTTCGACTTTTTGAGAAATATACTTAACCGTTTGGAATCCGATCTTCCTCTCTAGTTAGACGAGCTGAGACGCAATAGAATAGCTAGTTTATTGGTCTTTGGCGACAATTCTTTGTTTCTGTTCGCAGTCTAAGAGAACTCGTAATCGCTTCAAACCTAGCAGGAACAATATTCATCAAACTGTAAAAAGTAAAATTATTCCGGTTTAAACCAGTCAACTATCAAAATAATTGAAATTAAATACACAACTGTAATACATTGCTAGGCTATTGAGTGTGCAGACTGTATTGACTTTAATTTCTTAAAAGATTTTAGTTTTCAGCTAACCATAAAACACGAATATCATCGAGTTTAAACAAAGTAGAAACTAACCTTTCACATGATATACAAAAACATTAATCTTGGGAAGTATTCAGGTAGTTATTTAATTGCTGGAACATCATATCTAATTCGTCTATTTGAAATGGGTTCAGTTTACAGAGAAGATTACTTGACTGTTGTTGATTATCTCCCCTAAAATCAATAAAATTCAGGATAAAGTTAGAAAATCAATATTGTCATTTAGAAATACTGAGTTGTTATAAAACTATAAAAATGTGATGATTAACCTAAGATTCACATATACAGTACAATTTATCATGTACAGCTTAGTTTTACTTCGAAGTTAAAATACATGTTATTAAACTAAGATGATGATGACTATAAAGACTATCGTCCTGAGCATTATTGACCTCGTAGCAGAGAATTTACTAATCAATTGCAGTGCTAAATAACAGTGAGAAGATACAAGTAAATGTCATCAAGTGAATTTAAAACTTCACACCATTGCACAAGCAGGTGACTATCAGGACTCAGTAGCTAAGTGGATAACGCGATAGCGTTTAAAGCCAACGGTACTGGGTTCGAATCCAAGTGTGAATATCAGCTGTGAGATGCAGGCATTTTCAACTGACGAGTCCCAAATAGGACGAAATGCGCGTTCTGAATTCCATTACTAGTCACTGCCAGCCATTGTACCGAAATTATGGTTGTCAATTAGATATCCAAGACGTTCACAATTAGATACAGGAGTTGTGTACTCAAAATATACAATCTTTATATGATAATCCAGTCTTACTGAAAATAGTTGAATCACGCAAGATTTAGTCATACAGTTGCATAGTTAGTATAGTTGGTTAGACTTTTAGATTAACAAATTTCTAAGAAACATTCAGTGGAACTAATTTGATTGAAGAAGAGCTACATTTCATTGTATCGTATTATAAATCACATCTATTTAGCAGCTACCCGATAGCTAAGTCAAAATGAAAATGAGTCATTCATCCAAAATTTTCTGATTTATTCATTTATAATGCAAACGTAAGTCAACCACGACAGATGGTGTTCTGTTATAGGATGACGAACTTCTCAGAATTGTAAGCCCTATATAACTAGCTCAACAGGAGCATGTGGCGAATTCAGCATTGCACTAAATTACAGTACCAATCATATACAAAAGAAACTTGATCAAGATCCTGACTCATCGTGCTAGAATGATTTGCTTGGATGACATCATTATAGATGAACTGGTTAACATTTGTTACTTCCTTAGTAGGAATGGATACCTAACAAAATTCATTGACAAACACATGAAGGAGATGAAAAGTAGAATGAGGATACCTACCGTTTTAAAGAAATTGTTGTTCTTAAAATTACAATTTCTAAATGATACTACTGAAGAAATTGTGATTCAGAGATTAAAAAGGGCGGTACAAAAATATTGAATGCAGCCACACTGATTGCTATCTTCTACAACCATTCCACAATAAAAACGGCTAATAACGACAGATTGCCTGAATTCGCCAAAATCATGTGTATTTACCGATTCAAGGTTATCCACCATATTCCATCGAATTCGCCACATGGTTTACGAGTGCACCTTTCTCATATAACTGAAGCCATTGTAATCTATGTTCATAAACCCAACCTTTGCATTTAAAAGAAGTGTGTACAACCACTCTTACTACCTTGACCATTGGTATAAGGGAGTTTGTAGCAGAACTTTGATAAACCATTTTCATATTTCTTCCATTTTTTGTATTTCATTTATCTTCAACATTGGTCTCTTGATTCTTACATAACTACCGTACTACTGACCATTCATCAAAATATCCTATTAGTTCCTTCATGTGTTTATATATTATGCAACGTAGCAACTTCTTGATTTTCTAATAAATACTTTCAATATCATTGATTATCTTTCTTAATCATTGATATGACATTATATAATTACTACGTAACGTATCCGCTCGATGAGTATTACTTCATTATTGTAAATCATACTTATATTAACTTAATTGTTGAATTCATGAGTCAAGTGAAGCTAGACCACCATGGAAAACCTGGAAGCACTGGACGACCGTTTTGCCTTAGTATGGGACTCCTCAACAATGCGAATTCACGATCCCGCTAGGCGAGGGTCGACCCCTTTGACAGTGGAATTAGATTTCCCTCTAAACTATACTCAGTTTTACAATAATCATACGTGTAACATATTAAAATCTGATTGTCAAAATTTAGTCTACCTGAAGTATCTTCAATATGGTTTCTACAAGAATGAGAATAATCAGCGTGTTAAATGTCGAAAGTATTATAGGTGAGACTGTAACTTATGGACAAACTGTGAGAGACGCCATAGACACATTGAGAGTGCCCGCCCACCTTATAACCAGGAACATATGATGCTTATAATGCACTGTGAGGAATTACAATTATGATTGACAGTTGATTGGGTTAAGGTTAGGAATTTGATTTCGGGTTTTCATCACCAACTCACATCAACTGTAATGCCAAAACTCTATTTAACCAAGTGGATAAATGAATTTCGCGCCAAAATCCCTCATCTCTTATCTTATACCTGATTGGTTCGTCCATAAATCATAGTCTCGGTGTATTATGCATTCATTCATTCATTAATTCATCTAGTTTATCGAATAGCATCAGTCGTATAAATGGATATTCACTGAACAAGCTCTACAAATACACTCAACACGTTAGTATTCACAGAGGTTTATACATTTACTGATAAGGTGTCCATAGATAAAGAAAATCTTATTCTCATTCAGTAATACTAATAGGTCAGCTTACTTCTTGTTTCATTTCCCATTCTGTGGACATCTTTTACAGTGATCATTGGGTGAGCGACATTCTCTGTCTTACTAACAATTGCATCAGTATTGATACGATCTGTTGGTGAATGAGTTGTCTGTGGTCTGAAACGAAGTAAAGTCAAACAATTTGTGTAATCAAACAACTTCAAAGCATCTTATTACACGTGATATTAAATACTACTGAAATGTGTGATATACCTATCGAAATAGACTAGTAGCTGGCTAAAATCAAAACTGTAACAATCCTTAATCATAATGTCTTCAGAACACTTTTCGGTAAGTTGAACTTACATCAATTTGATTTCAATCATCCAGTCAAATTTTCAGTTCAGGTTATTACCATTTATACCACCCATCACCACTATTTCATTTAGTTTGTGTACGGAATGTTCTTGAAAATCTTTGTTGTTTATGATAGTAAACTATAGATTTTGCTCATCAGTTGTATCTAAGTATTGTTGTAGTAATACTAAACCTTTACATTCTGAATAACATACAACTGGATTGATGACGGAATGTTATGTAAAAGAAAGCAATATACTATGTTAATAGATCCCAGAATTCTAACAATAAAGACACAATTTATCATTGAAACAGCGAAAAATTTACTGTTCAATGATTCCAATATCATTGTCAACATCTTTGAAATTATTAGACTAATGGAATCTGTTATTTCACAACAGTATTACCAACATGAAGTACATAAAAGAGATATCTCCGTACATCTTATACTAGCTGTATCATACTTTTGCTAAGTTTCTAGATGTAATTCTTCGGTAATATGTTACAATCATAGATTATACAATAACTCTGGAATGAAGATACATCTATTTCAGCTGATGCCAATGACCTAATAGCATTAGGATTTACAAATGTCAAAATATACTGAAATCATTGAAGTAATAGACATTAATAATGAGATTTAAATAACCATTAAAAATGATTGAACATCTACTTCAATTAATAGCTTGATATTCGGATTGTGATTTTTAATTCCTTTAACCCTTTATAAGCTAAATTCATTATTTATTTATTGAAACACACAATGATTGGTACAAAGAGGCAACCAATAGATATGAAACATTTAAATCATTCGATTTATG